GGGAAACCGGGGTTGGGGTTCTGATTACCTGGGAAACTGGGGTTGGGTTTCTGGTTGCCAGGGATTCCAGTGGAGCATGTGTTATCTAGTTCCTGGGGTAGTTGGGGATTCTGGATGCCAGAGAAACCTGGGATAAGCAGTCCTGGTTGTAGGGGTAGTTAGACCAGGTCTCTGCGCTTTAGTTTAAATTTCAAACATGTACTTCATTCTTGAAAAAATCTTCATATACACGCATAATCACTAGAGCAGTTCAACTCTGTACAATCGATGTTTGTCTTGGTGTATGTCCCAGGGAACAGACCTTGGAGCACAGAGTCCCATATCACGGAGGTGCTCGGGACGAACCTCGACACAAACCAGTGCATCTTTCTCCAGACTTCCTTTGCAAAGGCACATTCCAGAAAGAGATGCGTGATGAGGCATTCTGCCAAGTGACTTTGACAGTCTGCTCAGGGAACCACGCAACAGGATCCACACTCTCCGTTTCCCTCAGGGTCTTGGGGACACTACATGCTGACCACTTCCTGGTGGATCTCTGGTCAAAGGTGTTTATCTTTGCAAATTTCTCCACGAAGGACAGGTGATACGGAATGGTCCAACTACTTGGAGCATTCCATGGTAACAAGGCTAGTCCCATCCTTCGCAACACCGGGGACAGGTAGAACCTCAGTATGTTAGTGACACTTGGTGTTTGTATACCGAGGGTCTACGCACAGCTTGATGCAGCTACACACAATGGTGGCCATCAGAATGAGGGCAGCATTGAGTACATTCATCCCCCTCCCCCCTTATCCAGAGTTTTGTATGTGGTGTCCCCGCAGACGTGGTCCATTTTGGACCTCCAGATGAAGTGGAAAATGCCTCGGGTAACTGCAACAGTGCAGGTTCTGGGAATGGGCCACACCTGCTCCATGTACAACAGCAGAGATAGTGCCGCAAAGCTGATGGCCAGGTTCTTGCCCTGAATGGAGAGAGAGCAGTGCTCCCAAAAACCCAGTTTCTGCCTTACCTGGGTGGAATATATCACCAAAGTTTTCATACACGCTCCAGCCCCTCCAAACCATATTCCGAGATCCTTCAGGTAATCTGTTCTGAAAATGAAGGGGATAAAGGGCCAGTCGGCCCAGTTTCCAAAGAACATGGCCTCGCTCTTGCCTCGATTTACCTTGGCTCCCGAGGCCAGTTCAAACTCGTGCAGATTCTCATGAGTCTGTGCGCTGACAGTGGATCCGAGCAGAAAACGGTGACGTAATCCATGTACAGGGAGACTTTGACCTGCAGGCCTCTGCCCCCTGGAATAGCCACCCCTCTCAGGCTCACATCCTTCCTGATGGATTCAGCAAAGGGCTCTATACAACACACATACAAGGCAGGAGAAAGTAGGCAGCCCTGCCTGACTCCGGATCTGATCGGGAAGCTTTCTGATTCCCACCCGTTGATTGAAACTGCACTAATGATGTTGGTGTAGAGCAGTCGGATCCAATTGCAGATTCTCTCCCCAAAGCCTGTTTTGGAGAGCATGCCCCACATGTAGGTGTGCGATATCCTGCCAAAGACCTTCTCCTGGTCCAGGCTGATGAGGCAGGTGTCCACGCCCCCTGTCCTGTATGCAGGTGATTATATCCCTGAGGAGCGTGGGGCTGTCAGAGATCATCCTGCCCAATGCAGCACAGGTTTGGTTGGGCTGAATCGTCGATCCCAGAACACACCTGACCCGGTTAACGATGATCTTAGACAGGATTTTGTAGTCTGCATTCAGCAATGAGATTTGTCGTCAATTTCAAATTCCTCTCCCTCTCCCCCTTCCGCCTGTCGATGAGGGTGATGATTCCTCACGGATTCACTCATTGTACCTGCCAGAAGCATATTGTCACACACCTCCAGCAGGTCCTGGCCAATCAAGTCCCACAGAGTCGAATACAGCTCGGCCGGTAAGCCTTTGCTTCCGGGAGTTTTATTCTTTTCTAAGGACTCGAGGGCCTTGGTCAGCTCATCCAGAGATAACGGCTGGCCCAGCCTCTCCCACACACTGTTATCTAAGATCTCAGTGACAGAGGACAGGAACGACTGGGAAGCCACACTGTATGTGGGCTTCATGTCATACAGTCTGGTATAAACGGATATGCTGATCCTCAGGCTGAGATGACGTTACCGGAGCTGTGGTGCAGTGGGTACCCCTTGGTTCCCGACGCTGGAGGTTGGGTTTCACCGGGGCCTCTTGGGACGTCCGGCGTTTCCAGGATGGTTGGGGGGGGGGGGGGGGGGGGCGTGCTCCTCTCTGTCTCCCCCGTGGTGCTGTGCCTCCTCTTTATTGTTGGTGGCCATCCCTCTGCACGGGTTTCATCGTCAGAGGAGCTGCTGGTGTGCCCATCATGCAGCTACCTCTTATCATTTTGCTGTTGGCCGGGGGGACCTTCAGCAGGTTTTCCTTTTCTGGTTGTTTCTCACCGGTATCCACTCCCCAGCCTCCTTTGTTTCCTCCTCCTTCTTCATTGACTCTGTTCTGTTCAGGTGGAGGTTGGTTCAGTTGTTGTGCCTCCACACTGGCTACATTTTCTTCCTCTCTGTCTCTATCTCTCGGTGCCCCCTATTTCAGTTCTCTTGCTCGAGGGTGGCAGCTTACTGTCCTCTAGGGGTCCATGGCTCGTATTGCCACTTCCGGCTGTCCGAGCATATGTGCCATCCCCCACCCCCCTGCCTTGAAAAGCTGGCCTCCTTCCCCACCCAGGTTGCAGCTCTTGGACTCCTTGCAGTCCTTAGTCTGGTGGACTTTCTGTTTGCAGTTCTTGCAGAGGGTCACTTGGCAGTCCGCTGCCATGTGCCCTGACTTCCCACAGGTTCGGCACACTCTAGGGTGCCTCGCGTACAGGTAGCTCTGCTATAACGCATGTTTCATTTACGCGAATTGGCTGTAACACGATTAACGAATAGTTTGGACAACGCGAACTTTCTGTTGTAGAGGTATAGTGATTTCTCCCGTAGTGCGAGGTCACACAAGAACACAACTATCACCTATAGGTCATGAAGCCTCGGCTCCCTCCAATCACGAAGCTAGAGGACGTTACTGTTAGCATCCCCCTTCAGGGTCACCTTGACCTGCCGCTTGCTGGTCCAGATTCCAAAGGGGTCCACTACGTCAGTGCTGCCTCCTTCAAGCTGTACATACCTTCCCAGACGGTCAGGGCATCTGTCGGCATGTAGAGGTTGTTCTAGAATCACTACAGTGTGGAAACAGGCCATTTGGCCCAACAAATCCCAGGAATTGAACCCGGGTCCCTGGTGCTGTAAGGCAGCAGTGCTAACCACTGAGCTATTGTGCTGCCACATGTACATAAGGATTGTGACAACCTGGGCTCCTCTGTGCAGGGAGAATGAATGATGTTGCTGCAGATAGGTTGGAGAGGGGTCCTTCACCTCCTTCCTCCTCAGATACCTTCAGGAGTATGAAGCCATGTGAGTGTCTCCTAAAGGTCACGTTGAAGTATCCCCCCAGTGGGGAAGTCCTGCAGACAGAAAATATCTGCAGCTTGGAACCCGCAGCAATCCAGGAGGACTCTCCTCGTGGTGAAGGTCTGGTCAACCAGTGATCCTTCTACCACTTTCTTCACAGTTACCCTGGCAGTTTTGTGATTGCCTGGCCTAGGGAACGGGTATGAGCAGAGGCCATAGCTTTCCATTGCTGGGTGACTGTGGACAGATAGCCCTTGAACCAACAGTGCATCTCCTGGCTGCTTACATCCCAGAGCTGCTCTGATGTTTACTTTTGAGGCAGTGTTGTGTTCTGCTCTGACTTCAAGAGCTGGTTCAGGGCTTCCCTCCTGCCGTCCAGCACTGCAATTAGACGGGATTGATATAGGGTTCTGGGAGAGCGAGCAGGACGGTGGGATTACACTGACATTGATATAGGGCTCTGGAAGAGAGACCGGGACAGTGAGATTACACTAAGATTAATATAGAGCTCTAGGAGAGATAAAGGGGTTGTTGGTTCAACGCTGGACTATCCCTGGCTTTGTGCCTCGGTTTTGAGTACAGTTTCGGGATACCGTAGGCACTGTGCCTGGGTGCGGGGTACAGTTTTAGGATGCTGTAGGCACTGCACCTGGGTGTGGGGTACAGTTTTGGGATACTGCAGGCACTGTTCATGGGTGCAGGGTACAGTTTTGGGATACTGTAGGCACTGTTCCTGGGTGCAGGGTACAGTTTTGGGATACTGTAGGCACTGTTCCTGCATGCGGGGTACA